GGTAGGTAGGTAGGGAGAGAGAGAGAGAGAGTAGGTAGGTAGGTAGGGAGATGTTTCCAGGTGTATTTATCCATGTGCTGGAGAAGGAAATTGCTGACAATCTGCAGCACCTAAGACTTTGTTTCTGCTGGCACAGCACTTGATCAATCAGTTAAAGAGCTTTCCAAAAGGGGGAAAAAGGGTTTTGCACTCTACAAACCTCCAAAAAATGGCCCATTTTTTGCAAAAACGGGCTCATTTTTGTCAAAAAAATTGCATGCATAGCCTTGTGGAAACTTATAGAGTGCTGATGCGGGGGGGGGGCAAAAAAGGCCCATTTTTTGTTCATTTCTGCCTTCCCCAGCCCCCAGGAGCTCTCTGAAAGGCTCCATAAGAGTATGCACAGCCATTCTGGTGAAGGGGCAGAGCTTCGGGAGGCAAAAAAATGCTGTATTTGATGTATAAGATGCACCCAGATTTTCAGCCTCTTTTTTGAGGAAAAAAGATGCGTCTTATACTGTGAAAAATACGGTATTTGTTTTCTAATAAGGAGATGCTTTGACCCTAATTGGCCAGATTAATACTGACCCCTATTTCACAAGATATCCATATGGTGTACCTATAATCTTCTGTCTGTGATCTTCTTTTTCTCCAGGAAGTGAGAGAGTTGGCTTGCAAACATCCGAATCTGGTGGTGTTGCAATTAGGTATGTTTTAAGGACAGAGTTTGTACTACAGGAATGCCCTGAGCATCCAGTTCACAGTCATCCCTGGAACTAACAAAACCTGCAATAGCTCTGGTTCTAACGGCTTTATGTGGCTTGCTCAGTACATGTTGTGGCACGCCAACTGCCAACGGAGCTGCTGGCAGACTCAGACAGTGAAGAGGTTGGGGAGGAACATGGGCCAGTCCTGGAGTTTGGGGAAGGCTCTGCGTCGGAGATGGGGCTAGGGCCGTCTGAAAGTTATCAGATGCCTTCAGAGTCAGAGATCACTGGGGCAGAAGAACAGCTGGAGCCTGTTTCCAATGTGTGCATGCACAGAGCTGCCAGGTGCTGCGCAGAGCTGCCAAGAGAAGGGAACAGCTAAGGAGCAAGGCTGACTTGGGAATAAAGCCACAGGGAGGAGCAAAAGGGGAGGGGAGTTTGCAGGAGACAATTAATTTAACTCATTAGGGTGAAAATCTGTTCCTGATTTCCTTGTCAAGTATTGTCTGCCACAGAGGGGTGTTTGGAAGATATCGGCCTGGCAGCTCTCCAAGCCTGATAAAGGTCTGNCTGGCCCCCCTCTCTGCCTCCAACACAGAGCCCTCATCAGAGCCTTCCCAGACTCCAGGACTGGCCCATGTTCCTCCCCAAACCTCCTCACCGTCTGAATCTGCTGCCAGCTCCACTGGCCACTGGTGGGCCACAACAGCTGCATTCATATAACTTTGTAATGTAATCAATCAACATTTGATTGACCAGTTTCATACAAATCATTCTCTATATTAGAGTTAAACATTTTATGATCAAGAAGTCCAATTAGATTCTGTTGATCTGCTTAAGGGAGAATTCTGGGCTGGGCAGGACTGATTCTTTAAACCTTATGAGATCCTTCTTTATGACAGCCGGAGATCACTGTGGAAGAGAGCACAAAAGGCATCGTGACTGTCCTATCCACGCTTTCCGAGAAGGATAATGGGACCTTTCTGGATTGGTTGGGTCATTGTGTTCCCTGGTGATCCATTACTCTCACCCTTATGCCATTGGTTCATAATATGCTGAGAGGTGATGATCCCTTCAATAAACTGCTTTATGTCATTGAATTCCTGGTCTTGTTCTTTCTTTTCTTTCACAAAATTTCAAACATCTGCATGAGTACCTCAGTACTCATCATTAATTCGTTTGGGGAGGTGAAATGAGTATCAGAAACGATGAATATCAAACATTTTTCCCCATAAGGAATAATGTAGAGAATCACATGGCAGCTGATACCAGTTCTAATTTGTGTGTTGAGTACCAAACAAACAATGATTACCGGGACAAAATTCTCATGTCATGTCAAAATACATTAGGTACCAATATCAATGAGTGAGTACCAAGGAACTGCATATATTATTTAAAAGATTTTGTAAAGAAAAAAAGTAAGAGCACCTAGCAAAATAAAATCCAATGCAGATAAAAGTAAGGTTTTACACTTAGGTTAAAAAAAAACCTCAACTGTATAGGTATATAAACCATGTTGAAACTTGGCTTAATGCCAGTAACTGCAACATGGATCTTGGAGTCCTAGTGGACAATCACTTAAATATGAGCCAATAGTGTGAGGCAGCAGCCAAAAAAGGCAATGGAAGTAGAAAAATAGAGATAACCTTTGGTGGGAAGCACTGGTGGGTTGCAGGCAATACACCCTGGTACAGTGCCTGCCAGGTGCATTGGATACCATTCCAATATGGTGCTTTGGAAGGCCCCCCCACCCGCCTGTCCTCCATACCTGTATTTGAGCTCTTCGGCACTTATGCACACCACACGTATGAGCTGTGGAGCGTCGTGGAGGCTCGCAGAGGCGTCACAGGAGATAAGGATGCATGTGTGTGTGCTGTACGCATGTGCACACGCTGTGCACATTCATGTGGGTGCCGGGGCCCGTTGCCCTGTACCAGTTGCAACGCAATCCATAACCCACCAATGGTGGGAAGGTAACAGTGTTCTGTGTGTCCTCATGCTGACCACATGACCACGGAGATGTCTTTGGACAGTGTTGGCTCTTCAGCTTTGAAACGGAGATGAGCACCACCCCCTAGAGTCAGGAACTACTAGCACATGTACGACGGGAAGTTTTACCATATATTAGAGGTAGTGTCACCGTTCCAAGTAT